AAATCAAATCGAAAGTACAGTTTCAACAAATAATACACTGCATATATTCTTCTTAGTGGTTAATTGCTGTACAAGATGCAGACTTGGGATCCTACTTACAAACACCATTAGAAAAAAATCATTCTATTCATTAAGAGAGTGCAACTATATATCTATCCCAACCACTTTGAATATATAGATACGAAATGGACATTCATCGGTATACCCCAATTTTTTTAAGTTCCGTTGTTGAATATTATAGGTGTGTAAACTCAGCAAAATATTGGCTGTTTTCTTTCCTTTGTCTTTTTTTTTTTTTTTTAACCCATTTTTTTTTTTTCTTTTTTTTTTTTTTTTAATGCAACTGTTTCTGTATGGCTCCCAGGTAAATCTGTTCCCTTTTTTACAGTATCATATGTTATCTTCTCCTCAATCTAGTTATTAAGGGAGACAAAGTAGTAGTAAAGAATGATATAAAAATTCCCTTCATCATTTTTTGTTTACTTTGAGGTATAACTTATATACACTGTGTACATATATACATATACACAAAGGAAGTCATTATAAATGCTTTATATCAATGCACTTGTGTATATCGATACAATGTATTTTGTATCAGAAAATACATTTTCTGACTTGGAAAGATTTCTAAACTACTGTTAATTAAAAACAGCTTGCTGAAAAATACCCCATTTGAAAAGCAATGATATTTATACTGTGTACCTAATTATTCAGGATACATTTAAAGAAGCCTAAACTGCTTAATACAGAAATTAAAAAGGGAGAATACAGAAAGGAGGCGACTTATACTCTACTTCTGTTTGTATTATATACATTTGCATTTTGTCTTTTTAAATATATAACATGTTAATATACTACTGTGTACTTACGCAAATCAAGATGAATTGCAGTTTAACTATACAAACATTATAAACGAATGGGTATAATCTAATGAGTGCAAATAATACAATTTCTTCTAATAGCTGATATGCATTCAGGATGGTTACCTTTCCCTGCTGACAGAAACTGGAGAAGTCCGTGAAGATCTTAAGCTGCCAGAAGGTGAACTAGGCAAAGAAATAGAAGGAAAATATAATGCAGGTGAAGATGTACAGGTAAAGATCTATGGAAAGACTGTTTTAAAAACTATTGTATAGAAACTTTGTCTAAACTAGTTTGCATGAAATACTACATATTGAAATGTCTCTTAAAAGTACTGCTGAAATGTTGAATATGATCTTCAAAAGCAGTTACCAAAGAAAGTATTGAAATTCATTTTTTGTTCCATGGACACTATCAGCTCCATGTTTGCTTTGAAGATCTGAATATAAGCTATTTTTAAGGTTAGAAAAGGATGCTAAGGAGTTGTAAAGAGTGAAGGAGGTGTACTCTGTTGGCAACTTTCAGAACTATAATATCTAGTAAGAGTTGAAATATTTAGTTTCTTTTTTCCTGTTACTTGGAAGTTCTCTTGTAAAACCACAATGTGAGAAATTCTGTTTCAGAAAACTATAAAAAAGTAGATTATTTGCATTGGATTACTCCTTTTCATAATCAAACCATATAAAATATCCACAGTTAGGTAATAATATATGGTGAGCTAAGTATATCTCCAATATGATTGCCTTCTGAGTAAGTTTTTGCCTGCATGTTTTTCTTCTAGGTGTCTGTCATGTGTGCCATGAGTGAAGAGTATGCTGTAGCCATAAAACCCTGCAAATAACGAGAACATGAGACATGAGCAAACTGCTTAGGTCTGGATCAACTGAAGATACAAAGTTTGATTCTAATTGCCACCAAAGCTATGGCCTCATAAGCAACATCATATTCTCTCTCTCTCTCTCTCTCTCTCTCTCTCTCTCTCTCTCTCTCTCTAATTGTGCTAGGTTGGTTTTGCAGCAATTGGTAACTTTTAAAAACTCAAGCTGTGTAATTCTCTTTTTTTTTTCTTTTTTTCAATTTCATAGGTGTTTTTCCTATAACATTCCTGTGGTTTTCAGTATGTAAGTCCAAGAAATAGACAAGACAACCTCAGCAGATGTGACTTGTCTGAGGAAATCATTCCTAACTTTTACTTAAGTGATTAATAAATCTGGGTTTTAAATCAGACAATGTAGCATCTTGTGGTGTAGACGTACCACATTTAAGTCGAATTGCTCTGCATTAGTTGTAGATTTCCTATCATAGAAGACTGGATTGGAATTGTCAGTTTCAGCCTGGGTGTGACAAACACAAATCTGTAAACAAAAGTCATGTTATCAGAGTGTTATTTACTTTGATGGCCATGTGTCACCACATATAATACTATTCTTTGCAAAATGTTATCCAACTTAATATAACCGTACAGTGATTTTAGTATCTGCTTATAGTTGACAGAAGGACACTGAACTGTTTGATAAACATGAACGAGTCAAATTATAAGTATAGAAAGGACATTGGCAAAGGAAGTTACTAAGACTATATTTTTTAATTTGAGATCTGTATAATCAGCAAAAAAGTAGGAAGAGACTTTTTAGTTGTATTTTGGCTTTTTTTGTCTCTGAGCCTCCATCTCCCAACGCTGAAGCTGAAAGGATGACCTGCTCACGGGGCACCGTGCAGTATGCTTTCCCCAATCACGCTGATGCACGTTGATATTTATCAGCAACCGCACATTTCTAATCATTTTAAGTAAAAGTTTATACGTTAAATATTTGTTAGACTAAAGCTGGGAATTCTTAAATTGATATGAATTCTTGACTTTTGAGTTTGTGCACATTTTTATCTAAAGTGAAATGAAAGTGCATCATGGAAGAAACGTTACTTTATTTGAAAATCAAGTACATCAAATTTTTCTAAGCTGATTTATTTAACAAGTATTTTAGGCGACACCATCGTCTTTCTACTTAGTCTTTTAGTCTGAATATATCTTATTTTAGAATTTTAGCCACTGTTACAGGAGTTGACTCAGTAGCAATCACTCTACTGGAGTGAAATCTGGAAGAAAAATCACTGTATCTCTTTACGCCTGAATCCCCTAAAGCTGTTCATAAGATTCTCCACAATGCTTTAGCCAGACAGACATTGGTTCTTACCACCTAGAGGAAGTATGTCCGATACTTACCTAATCAGTGACTGGAAATAACACTCAGGATGCAAGAGTCCAAAGGTGTAGTTGCTTCATGTGCGCACATTTTAAAATTTTATCTTGGCCCAAGCAAACCCATTTGAAGGCGATGCAAGGCACTTCACCTGAAAGGTAAAGAAGAGAATTCTGAGCATGAGAAATGTTAAGATCGTAGTCAGCAGATTTTAGAATGACACTTTAGCTTTTGCCCATCCAAAGCACAATTAAGAATGGGGCTGGATTCTTTCCAGCATTCTAGTTAAGTATCTACCACACACTGTTCTAGTTTCTTAGTACTATAATCTCAGATTTTATCTTATTTGTTACCAGATGGTAGTTACCCAGAGGACGTCCATAAAGTTATTTATCTGTGCTGCTTGCTGCTCATTCATCTGTCCCAAGTTATAACCATATTAATGTTCTGATAGTGTTAGTTCTGGATTAGCATGCCTTCATGCTCCATAACTTGTCAAACTTTGCATAAATATACTTTCAATTGTGATAGAAGGGTGTACAAATGATAATAATGCATCTCTATCTCCATATCTTGAATGGAAAAATCTATTTATGCATAAATATTTCATTTTAAATATTATATGAAGTGTAAATATTCTAACATGTATAGATTTTAAAGATACAGGATTATTTTCACATAAATCAATAGATGTTTCTCTAGAACAAAATATTTCACTTAGCAAAGCTTTATAAATTGTATTACAAGGAAGCAGGGAACATATATTTTTTAACATAGAAGTGACATTGTTCTTTTTGGACATCAGAGAAATGTTAAAAGTTGATTCCCAGTACTATTGTACTTTTTTGTAGCAAATGTTAAATATCACAAGTTATCATATATAAAATATAGACTCTGTGGTGATAGGTTATACAGTAATACACCATTTTTGTCTGTGTACATTTTACCAATTTTTAGACAGTAGCAGGTTGAATGTTTGTTTCTTTCTAGAACATGTTTTATTTCTACTGTAAAGACTGTTATGCTTTATCTGATAAAAAGTTGTATATCCTCTCATAAAAACCAATCATTGCTGCTTTGACTTAATATTTATACCATGGACCTAATTATTCCACGCTCCCCTGCAAGGGCTGTCAATCACTTGAAGAAATTAATCTTAACTGAGCTCTTGACTCTGTTTCCCTTAGTGGTTCAAATTTGTGCCAGTGCTTTATATAAAGTAGCAAAATGTCTGCAGCCATGGTCCCTTTAACAGGACATGCTGCAATAAAATGTTTAGACTGTAAAGTTTGGGGACACAATATTTTATTACAGCATAATGTGAGTGTATATGAACACATAGCTCTGTATGTTTATTCTTTTTCTAAACTCCTTCCAACTATTAAAAGTACTGTAGTCTGGTAGTGCCTCAACTGTTAGTAATTTTTTTTTAATTTACAACCTTTCCAAAATTTGTCTTTCTAGCTTAAGGGTTTTTTTATTAGATTATTTTAGTTGAGCTATAATTTGAATTCATTATTCTCAGGGCTGTTCATGCTAAGAGTTGAGGTTTCATTATTTTAAAGCTAACTGCCTGAAAGTATAAAGCAAAATTTTCCCAAATTGTAATACTGTAATGCATACATATAAAATTCTTAATATGAACATATTTAAGCTATATGCTGAGTATTTAAGAAAAAATAGAAACCTTAGTAGCAACTGTACTGGAATTTTGCCATATTTTTCATTTTAGGATAGAATTTGGCAGTCTTACCTCAGAACCTTGTCCTTAGTGATATATTTGATAGCATTCCTTTGGCATGGACCCCAAAGATAGTTTCAGAGACAGACATTGCAGGTTCTCAAACATATTTCTAAACAAAGACTGAAAATTCATCATGCTCCTTTGGGTACCTTAAAATGTTTACATACCGAATTCTATTATATGAGCTAGGAACACATTTAGTATGTGGAAATATGGTTTTTAGGTAGTATAAGAGCAAAAATATAAGCATTTTTCATAAACAGTGTATTGTACTAATAAAGTTTTAAATTTTCCAATATCATTTAAACACAATATTTCATAGATTTCAAGCCCGTTTTCTGCTAACATTCAACAAATAACCAACAAAGATTTAAGAAAAATTCATGACAGAAATCCTAAAATTGATAAAATTCAATCTATTAAGTTTAATCCGTTAAACTTCTTCGTCTAAATTGGGTATATGGCATCATTATTTGATTTTAGCAGGAACATTTGGATTTGGCTTGTGGAACACAGATGTTCTGTGGAACATGGCTTGAAGTCGCGGTATAACTCAGTGTTTTTCCATTAAATAAACATCTGAACACCAACTTAACTACCAAGTGAGGTCAAGTGCCTGAAAAGTGCTGTATATGTCTTATAAATGTTTTCCTTAAGTGAAAAATGTATCTTTTAGCAATTCATACCAAGCTTTCATTAAGTAGAAACATCCTTATTGCCATACTCCTCTGCCATCTTCATTCAGCACTAGTCTCCTCTCCTTATAACAGGTAGAAACCTATTTTACAATAAAAAGATTTATTTATAGAAAGTCCTTAAAAGCATTTCTTAATATTGGTAGAATTAGGCTTGCCTCAGTTCAAGATTGCACTTTTTAAAAACTCTGGACACTAACTATATTCAGTAGTAACAAGTAAGTCATAGTTGTGATCTTTCTTGGGAGAAGTTCTTTATTAGGGTTAGATCTACTATAAATAAGCACTTTTGCTTATTACAAAGCATAATGCATATTAGTAGTTCTGTATTGGTATGATAAAATCAACTAGTTCTATACTGTTATGTGCTTTTATCCTCCTCCCCCAAAAGGTAGTTGAAACAGGATTGTCTAATCCACTGGCACTTTATTAGTACTATACTTTATTTGCCTTAGATACAGGAGAACTCTTGCTTTTACTTGTAGAGATTCAGATGTTTTAGTTAAAACTTTGAAATTATAACATGTATGGGTATTATAAGTGTGCATTTTACATTCAATAATGGGTAAAAATACAAATAATAAATCTTTGGCTATACCAAAATATCCTTTAAAATGTAGATGATAAACATATAACATAACATTTTGTTACATTAAAATTAATTGTTAACTATGAGTTATGTTAAATAAAAATAAAAATTTAACAGCTTGCACTATTCCTGTTTATGTATGTTCTTAAAAGATGTTTTCATAGTAGACACATTATTTTATATGTATTACTTTTAAAAGAAAATCTTCCATTTTTAGTAAGTGTCTCTATATTCTAAATCTGCAGGTCACAGCTTTATGGTCAAGAATGTTAATTTTTAAATTCTAGTTTCAGATTTAGGTATAATTTTAAATTATTTGTAAAAATGTAGAAAATAGTCACCTAGTACAAAAGTGAAAATATTTTTCCATCTTTATTCACTGCTATACAACCTTGAAGAAACATTTAGTGCAGTAAAAGTTAATAGCCTGTCCTCTCTGATCTCCCAAGGTCTGAGGTATTCCGTCCCTACCAGCTGTGGTTTGCTCTTCTCTTTCCATAGTGACATAGTGGTGTGGTGGCTCCCTAAAGCAAACCTTCACCCTTTTCCATTCTTCATGTCTAATTAACATTGCCTGAACAAGTTCACCCCTGGGTGGCTCAGCGTTTCCTCCTTTTATGCACTATAATGTTCCAGAGCATCTGTCTCCTGGCCTGAGACATGCCAAGGTTATCTTGGAAGTTGTCACCTCATATCTATGATCTTTGTTGCTACTAATATCCTTAACCTTCCAAATCAAAGTTGATTAGTAAAACATTGTAATTAGTCTTATAGCTTCCATCTCA